CTGTGGAGAAAAGCACAAAGATTTATACGCCCTGATCAATGGAGAGTGGGGGGGGGCGTGCTTGCCCTGGGAGCTTGCCCAAGTGTCTTCCCCTTTGGCTAATGGAGGTTCCTCAGATTGCTTTTTTCTGTGCTGAACATGTCTGCTGTGTAAATACCACCACGTGTGCTGGACAGCGTCTTAACAACATCATTGGCTTCTGCCAATTTTCCCAGCAAGTATGATCCCTGGATGACCAACTCCCAACAAAGCGCTGGGCCAGGCCTTCTGGATCTAAATCCTTCTTATACCTCCCTGGCCCGTGGGGGAAGATCAAGTACTTGCATGTTTTCCAAGCACTGCTGCCTGACCCCTGGGGTCTTGGTGTTGTTGGCTGCCCAGAGGCCAACCCACCCATGGACATGTACTCATGATGCTAGGGACAGGTGCAGACTTCCGCCAAGCTGCCTGGAAACAAAAGGGAGAAACGTTCCTTATCCCACCCCCAGGCCTCTGTAGTCTCCCTCGTTTCTTGGCCAGGACAAGGACTCCTTTCCTAGGGGGTCCTGAAATGAAGCCTGGGGCACGCCATGGGGCAGACTGAGAGGGAGAGTTGGGCCATAGGGTTCCAAATGTCTGTCTCCACTGTTCCTAGCCCCAAGGTGGAGCTTCTGATCAATGAGTTATGCAGAGGGGAGTGCAGGCAAGTGGGGTGCCCGGGTGTCTTCCTCCCTTCACTGCACACTCACCCTGCTCTCTAGGGAACACTCCCCCTACCCCATTGCTATCCTGTTCCCAAGGAACCCTCACTTTTGGATGACCCTGTAAATGGTACACATGCTTGTGTGTATGTGGTGGTTCCTGCTAGACTTCCTTCAACCTCTACCATCTCCCTGAGGATTTCTTCCTGAGGCTTTCCTTTTCCTTTTCCTAAAAAATATAGGGAGGGTTTTGTTAAAGAAGATAAGGTCCAAGCCAGGTGTGGTGGCACACGCCTATAATCCCAGCATTTGGGGTAGGCTGAGGCAGGAGGATAACTGTGAGTTCGAGGCCAGCCTGGGATACATAGTGAATTCAGGTCTAGCCTGAACTTCAAAGCGAGATCCTGTCTCAAAATAAAAAAGAAGATAAGGTCCAGCTCAGATTTCTGAATCAAGGCCACCCGTGATCCAGAAATGTGTCTGATCCCTAAGAAATCACATACTCTCCAGAATATTAATAGCAAGTGTCAATAAGAACCTATGTCAAGTCAGCAAACTGTGGCCTGCAGGCCAAGAGGTAAGAATTCTTTTTTAAATGGTTGAAGGGAGCTGGGCATGGTGGTGCATGCCTGCAATCCCAGCACTCAGGAGGCCTATGCCAGAAGATCGTGAGTTCAAGGCCAGTCCTGGCAAGTTAGTGAACCTTGTGTCAAAAACCAAACCAGGGGCCAGGGATTTAGCTCCATGTTCAGCTGCATACCTCACAAGCACGAGGACTCAAGTTCGATCCCCAGTACCAAAACAAACAAAAAAACCAAACACCTCAAAATACTGGGGGCGGGGGGTCAGAATGTTTTGTGACATGGGAAAATTATCATTCCAGGGCTTGTAAGATTATTATTGGAACAGTAATGAGCATCATTTACACGTTACCTGGGATGGTTTACATATGGATTGTCGCCACCAAAACTCATGTGAAGACTTCATTTCCTCAGTGTGGCAGTGCTGTAGGCAGGGCCTAGTGGGAGGTGCCTGGACTGTGGCAATGGAATAGGTTAATGCCGTCTCGGGATCAAGCTCCTGCTTGTTGAGCTTAGCTTCCTCTTTCTTTTTCACCATCGGACCTTTCTTTACTTGCACCAACTTGCCTTTTGTTTTTCCACCATGCATGGAGCAGCCTGAGGCCCTCACCAGAAGTGAAGCCAACATAGCCACCAAATCTTGGACTTCAGCCTCTAGAAGTATGAGACCTCATTTCTTTATAAATCACCCAGCCTTGGATGTTCTGTTATAGAAACAGAAAATGGACTAACAGACCATTTACACATTGCCAATGGCTGTTTTGAAGCTTATATTGAGACAACTCTGGCTACTACAGACAACTGATGATCTGCAGAATCTGAAATATTTACTCTTTGGCCTTCTACTAAGTTTGCTGACCCACAGTTTAGGGAACTGATATTAGACTTTCATTTAAGTTTGACAGAGGTCAAATAAAATGTAGCTCAAGGGAGCTACTGAGAGGTTGGGGGAAGGAAGCACCTGTTGATTCTCAGTGGGACATTGGAAAGAAAATGAGATGTAGTCTGTCAGTGCTAATTTTGGGGGGACTTATCAATCCATTAAAAAAAAATTTCCCCCAGTACTGGGGATTGAATCCAGGCAGTGCTGAGCTATATCCTCAGCCCTATATTTCAGTTTGAGACTCAGCCTATGTTGCCCAGGCTGGTCTTGAACTTGAGATCTTCCTGCCTCATGCCCTCGTGCTGGGACTATAGGTGTGTAGCTTCATGGCTATGAGCCCATCTCTAACTTTTATAAAAGGGGTGTGCGTTTTCTTCCCAGAGGTTACAATGGCATTTGGAGACCTGGTCTGAGACTGCAGGTGTGACCAGGACTCCACGTTAACAGCCTCACTTGCACAGTGGGTCTCTGCCTCCTTGTGACTTCGTCTGCAGCTTGTCAACAGGCCATGGGATTCAGCAGCTCCTGCAGAAATTCACAGGCCCACTTCTCTGACAGAGCACCTCCTTCTCCACCATCAGGTAAGGCCCAGGAGCACCAGTTCTGCTGAGGCTCCAGCTCAGGAGCAGGGCCTGTACTACAGGGGAGGGAAGCAAATAGGGCAAAGCTAACGCTGACCTCTGTGCAGCACGAAGCGAAGCTTTATTAGGGTACAGGAATATGTATGGATGGAGGTTGAGGGCATCTGGAAACTGTGGTGCACATCTGTAATCCCAGCAATCATAAGTTTGAGGTCAACCTGGACAATTTAGTGAGACCTGTCTCAAAATAAAAGGGCTGGGACCTTGCTCAGTAGTAGGGCTCCTCAGTATTATGAATGAGGGAGATAAAATATGAATGAACAGGGGGCTATCTATCGGTAACAAAGTAAAACACGGAATCTCAACAATCTCAACCTAGCAGCATCTTCCGCCACACAACTGTTTCCTTAACCACTTAACAGATGACCCCAAGCATCACTTGGGCAGCATATTTATATATTGACCATCCCCAGGTGCTATTTTTGTTGGTTCTTGTACTGAAATTTGATAAAATTGTTTTTACATTTCATTATATTATTTTTTAAAAAATTAACAAAAAATGCAATTTTTGGTCACCCTGTATATAAATAACTGGACAGATGTCCTAAAAAGCTATTTGCTGCTTCTCAATTCCGTTATTTAGTGTATAATATTGCTTAAAATTACAGTTTGGCGGTAGTTTAGTGAAGAAGGACATATAGTGCCTGGTTTTCTTTTTTTGCTATTTTATCAAGAAGAAAAAAATGACCGTATTTTTATACCTTCACGAGACAGACTCTAAATTGTTCTCAGCTTTGATTTTGCTATTCTGCAGAAAGAATGAGGACCTCAGCTAAGGTTTTCTTGTGCATTTGATTTTCTGGGCTTTTGAAAGCCCAGGGCCTTGTTCTCTGCAACCCTAAGGCTGGGCTTGAATCTCAAGGTCTTTTTAGGCCTAAAATAATCTTCATTTATGAGCAGAACCATTAAATTCTTCAGAAAGCCAGTGGTTTCCTATAGCTCCCTAGACAATTTAAGATTTTTCTTTTGTAGGCATGCCATTAACATTTGCTCTTGTGGTGAACAGACCTACTCGAGTTGCCAGACTAACCTGTGGCCTGGGGAACCAGAAGCTCTCCTAGAGAAGGTACCCAGTGGCCACACCATGGGATTCTGTTTGCAGTGCTCCAGAGAAGGCCCACCGGCAGCCTAACCAGACTGTGAGGTACAGAGGCAGCCTGCTGCATGGTAGATTTATTTCCTTTGATGTGTAGGTGAACAAGCCAATGAAGATACCACAGGATCAGAGGGAGACTGACTCTGGGTGGAAAGAGTTAACTAGCACACTGGAGGGCTCAGTGCATTGAAAGTAAAAGCCTGAGTGTGTGGTAAACACACCATCACTTGGCCCTGTGCTCCTCCGGCTGACTCCCATCGCAGGCAGCAGATCCAGTGTATTCAGCCTCCAGTGCTGCTGTAGACCGGCGAGTAAACCAAACAGCTTCTTTGGCATAGCAGATACTTCCCTGTATGGCTTATTTACATGTGAGAATATATTCTGTGCCTTATATGGGGAATCATGGGACAGCAGATGGTACCACAAATGCTTATCTAGGAGAGGTACGGTAGCAATATGGAAAATTTAATGTTAACTATGCCACTGCTGCTAGGTCAAATACCAATGTCACTTAGCCCACTGGGAAAGGAGGGTGGTGGCTAAGTTGATTTTGGGAGGAATGGAGATAGGAGGCATAAAAAATAAGCTTGTACCTTTGGTGGGCTTAAGGTCAAGGGGTCAGGCCCTGTGAAAAGATGCAGACCTTGTCAGACTTGGGGACCCTAATGCCACTCAAAACCATCCTGGGCTACCACATGCCGACAGCATCTGCTATGTAGACAAAGTGCTTAACCTCCTTGAGCCTATGATTGTTCTGGAACCCGAGCCCCTGGCCACAGGGCTGTGGCATGGATATGAGAAAGCACACATGAAGCAACCGGCAAAGCACTGGCCCATAAGAGTGCCCAGGGTGAGCCAGAGGTCAGTGTGGTGTGGATGGCACTGGGGCCACCGCTCTCCCGGGAGAACAGCAGTGCTGAACGAAAAGACTCAAGTCTCTACGAGGTGGGTGTGACTCCACCCAACTTGAGACGGATCTGGGAAGGTGGGTAACCTGCCCAGGGACACACCCAGCACTTCACAGGTGAGGTTCAGAAGAGAGAAATGATTGGCTCAGAGAGCATTTCTATTTTTTAAAAAATACTTTTATTATGAAGAACGATAACAATACTGTATGGATTTTCCATAGAGTACAGAATATCCTGTGAATATAACAAAATGACTTTCCATTTTCTTTTATTTGGTAGAGATGGAATCGTAGGCCTCATGCATACTAAGCTTATGCTCTACTGCTGAGATATACCCTTGCCCTTTTAAAAATGTTACTTTGAGACAAGCTCTTACTAAGGCCCACGCTGGCCTTGAACTTGTAATCACTCCTCTCAGCTTCCCAAGCAGTTGGGATTATGCGTATGCACTGTGGTACCTAATAGCTAAATATTTTAAGGTTTAGAAAAAGTTTCCTTGGATCTCTGTATTTCAAATATTACTCAGGATTAAGCAAAACTAGGCAGCACAGGGTTTATCCATTTGTATGTTTATCCATTTGTGGCTGGAGACTAAGGCATGCGGTCTTCTTTTGCTTCTCTCTGCAATCTTGATGACTGAATCCATGGCCTTACACTGAACTACATCCTCAACCCTTTTGAAAATTCTGGGATAGGGACTTGCTAAGTTACCCTGTCCGGGCTCAAACTTGTGATGCTCCTACCTCAGCTTCCTAGAATATTTCCAACTTTTAGCAGGAGTCTTGTTGAGGACGAAGATGGCCTGGGGACTGTCAGAACTCTTCCACATGATGATGGGAGGGTGGCCTGCTGGCATGGAATCTCACGCTGAATTTCTTGGCACACTGCTGGAAGACTTGCTCAGGAATGCAAGCTGCCGCCCTGTAAGCAAAATCTTAGCATTGCTGCTTACCCAAGGAAGCTCCCAATGCCACAGAGGGAGAGAAAAATCAAGACTGTTTAAAAGGCAAATCATGTTAAAGGCATTCTTCTTTTCCCTCAGCTTCATGAAGAGTAGCCGCACTGCCTCACCACCTGAGGGACACTGGCTTATGCAGGGGCAGCAGTCTTACTTGTCACCACTTCAGTGTGGAGAAGAAATTGGACCTCTGGGATAAAGCTGTTTGTCTCCCAGACCCAGTACAGGACTGGGAATGGCTATGGAAGTGGCTTGGTGAGATGTCTGCACATTCAAAAAAATGTACTTTCTTTTTTTTTGGGTACCGGGGATCGAATCCCAAAATGTACTTTCATGAGGCAAGCTTACATCCTCATTGTAAACTGGAGAGAACAGGCGTGTTCCATGGTGGGTGGGGTGGCGGGTACTAGGGATTGAACTTGGAGCACTGAGCTGTATTCCCCTCCATCCTTTTGAGACAAGGTCTTGTAAAGTTGCCCAGGGTGGCCTTGAACTTATGATTCCCCCTTTGTCTCAGCCTCCTGAATACCTGGGATTACACAAGCCTGGCCCCAAACTCCCTCTTCTTAGGCTCTCACCTTTGTCTTAAACTTGGCAATATGATATCCCTTTAGACTGGTGGATCGATCATTAAGTAGTTCCATTCTTCAAGGAACAAATTTTCAGGGGTGCAGGGTATTTACTGCAATTAAAGTTTTCCAACAGGTTTTCGCATTCTGATTTTGACAATGGTACATACTTGTTTTTTTTTTTTTGTTTTGTTTTTTTGTGGACAGGATCACACTATATAAAATAGGCTGGCCTTGCTTGAACTTGAACTTGTGCCAATCCTCCTGCCTCAGCCTCCTGGGAGTTGGGATTACAGGTGTGCACCACCAAATCCAGGTAGGTTATAAATGTTGTGAATAAAAATGGGGGGCACAAGCTACCCCTCAGTGCTACCCCTGTACTTACACGTTATGGGTGGTTCGGGGCCAACACAAAGCCCTGATATACCAGAGGAGACTAGACAAGTCAAGAAAGGCTTCTATTTGACTGTTTAGAGCAGTGACCCCAGCTGTCTTCCTCGCTCTAACACATGACACACGGAGACAGCACCTTCCTCTGCGGCAGGGGCCAGCACACTTTCTCTATAAAGGGGGCCAGAGTCAGGGCTTCACTTTTTGGGGCACAGTCTCTGATCGAACTACTCAACTCTGCTGCTGTGGTGTGGAAGTCACAGGCAATGCCACACCGAATAAGAGATATGTTCCCACGAGACTTTATCTGCGACAGGCAGGGGGCTGGATGTGGCCAGTGGGCTGCAGTTATCTGCTGATCCTTGCAGGGGGGACTGGGAAAGGGAAACATGTCAAGAGGTCATTCTCACTGCCCTTCTATCCCTAGAGTTTCTGACCTTGAAGACAGATGGGGAAGTACAGAGAGAGTCCCTATGCATCTCATTTCAAGGGAGGCACCCAGCTGGGCTGGTGGCATACTCCCATAACTCCAGCATTCCGGGAACTTAGCCAACCAGCAACACTGTATCTCAAACATCTAAAAAGATGCTGGGGATACAGCCCAGTGCAAAGGGCCTAGGCTCAATCCCGTGTGTGTGTGTGCAAGTGTGAGAGAGAGAGAGAGAGAGAGAGAGAGAGAGGGAGAGAGAGGGAGAGAGACAGAAAATGGTTATGAAGCCATTTCAAAAATAAAACAAAAGATGATGATGATGATTATATTATTTGGTACTGGGGATCAAACTCGGGCCCTTGTGCTTGCAAGGCAGACAGTGAAACCACTGAGCTAAATCCCTGGCCCTAGAAAGATTATTTTTTAAGTACCAGTGAAATTCTCAGTAAAATTAGAACTACTAAATGTAGTACTCTTTCTCTGTCTTTCCATAGAAGAATTCCAGCTTACAAAGGTGTATTTCTGAGTACCTTTTTCCTAACCATGAATTTGCTGCAGATTTCACTTACTTTCACTAGAGCTACTTAGAGAGGCCAGGGGACTGGGACTAGGAAAGGTACATGTAGCCAACCCAGAACCCCAACTTCTAAGAAGACAGAAGGAAGCAATGCATAATACACACTGGCCTTAGCCTGCTTCCTTGTGGTTCTGAAGGTGGGGAGCCACAGGGGCTGACCTGTGTTGTTCTCACATGAGAATGAGCTGACAGGGACACAGTACATGTGCCCGTGTGAGGGTGGTGATAACCAATCCCTGTTGGGAATGGGTTTAGAGAAATAACTGCTTTCCTTCTACGTGACCTAAAAAAGCTTCTCAATCTTCCTCTCAAGGGTCCACGTTACTCTGGGGGGGCCAAGGCCAAAGTCAAAAAATCTGAAGGACCAGTGCTTTGATTGAACGAAGAGGCCTAGAAAACCCATCATCCCAAACCAGCCCCAAGAAACTGAGAGGAATTCCTCAGTCATTCAGGAACATTCTTGAGAAGGGATGGGGTGGGTTTCTAAAGATCCCAGGAAGAGATGATAAACAGAAACCAAGTGCCCACTGAATACATAAGGTGCTTTAAAATTCTGTTCGGTGTGTTACTTCATTTCAATCAGTGTAGAAAAACATGTAAGGGCTTCTCCCAGAATCCTCTGCCCCTGGGCCCCCAGTCTTTGCTTTCCTTTCTCACACCTGCCAGTATCTGCTTAAGGGAAAGGGGAAAGGCCTCGTGTAAGCTCATATTCTGAAAATTTGGGTACTATCCTGTCTCAGTATGTATGCAATTTAGTATCCTTTATAGACCAATGGTAAAATACCACATTCAGAGTACAATTTTAGGGAGAAAGCTTTAAACTTGATTGCAGATTAAAATATAAAATTCTAGGAAGATAATTTTTTTTTTTGTCTTAACTCACTGTGTAGCCCAGGCTAGCCTCAAACTCATGGCGAACCTCCTGCCTCAGCCTCCCAAATGCTGGGATTACAGCCATGTGCTTACCACTCCAAGCTCAGGAGAAAGATTAAAATTTAAAGACTTAAAGTTATTAGTTTTCCATGAAAGTTGAGAAATAGTTTCTCAGTGTAAATGGCACATTTTATCATCTTTATATCTAAGCTTGAATAACAATTTTATGGTTAAACAAAATAGTTGTTTTTCAGTAACTAAAAGCTTGAGTAACAATTTTATAGTTAAAGAAAATAGTTGTTTTTCAGTAACTATTAGTCACTTTTGAGAGAAAGCCAAAGAAACACCCACACAGACTCAGATCTGTCTACCTTAATAACAAATTTACTTTCTGTACAAGTGTTTTAGATTCCAGTACTCATTCTTTGTATGCCCTTGCCTTGTCCCAGTACAAATGCGCTCAACCTGCACTGCTGCTGTCTCCGCCATGCTTCCCTTGTGGTGTCCGGGTCAGCATTACTTATGCCAGCGATGCAGCTCTTTGGACAAACAGAGACCAATGTAAGGATCCAAGTGGCCACTTCCACTGACTGCTTCTACCCTTTTCCCCTACAGATCCCTTCCTTTTTTTTAAAAATCAATTTGGGGGGAACTATCTAAGAAACTGTCAATATCTGGTAAAATTTTTCCTCTGGTAGTGCTGAGGATTTAACCCTGTACCTCAGGCATGCTAGGCAGGCGTTCTAGTGCTGAACCCTCTCCAGCTCCCCAGCTAGTATATTCTTGTTTTGTAAAGTGAGAAATAGTCAAATTGAGAAATAGCACACGAAGTTTCTGTTTCACTTCAGACTTGAATTAGAGATGTGAAAAATACAAATACCTACCTTAAAAATATCAACTATCTGCTACAGAGTGGTACATCCTGAGGGAACTCCTTTGCTCTATGAGAAATGACTCTTGCTTTGGGAGACTCTCCATTCATGTAGCGAATCCCATTTCACCAAAGGCTAAGTGTCTTACACGTGAACTGGAGGGTGGCTATTCCTTATAGCTTAGGACACAGGGGGTGCCGAGGCCCTATTCCTGCGGGGTAACCTGCCCTCCTATTCACCTAGCATGATTCTAGCCAAAAATACTTCATCTTTTTGGGGGGCAGGGGTTTGAGACAGGGTCTCACCATGTAGTTCAGACTGGCCTTGAACTCACTATGTGCTGGGATTATAGGCAGGCATCACCACATCTGGCAACAATCTTGATTTGTTAAAAGACTCACCCAGTTTATGAATTATTTTGGTCCCTACTCTTCATGGTTATATTGTCCTTTTGCACTTAAAGTTTTCATCTTAAAGCATTTAAATGTTTTCTTTCTAAATTGTGGAAAGCCAGGATGGGGTGGCATAGGCCTATAATCCAAGCACCCTGGGAGGCTGAGACAGAAGGATTGCAAGTTTGAGTCTAGCCTGAACAACTTGGCAAGATCCTGTCTCAAAATAAAAAATTATAAAAGCACTAGGGATGCAACTCAGAGGCCCTGGGTTCAATCTCTAGGACCACAAAAAGTCAATATTTAGGGGCCAGGAATTTAGCTCAGTAGCACTGTGCCTGCCTCACAAGCACAACGTCCTGAGTTCAATCCCCAGTACAAAAAAAAAAAAAAAAAAAAAAAAAAAAAAAAAAA